TTGAACAATTTTCATGAAAATATAAAATGCACTTCGTCCCAAAATGGTTAGTAAGTTTCTTAATTTGGAAAATAACAAAAATACCTAGAAATGTACAGTTCTCTCTAAATTACAATATGGTCATTACTGTAGATTTTGTGATGTTTTTTTGTAATCTTAATTTAAATCTCAGTATCATGGTAAGAAAGTCTTTCATTTCATTCGGATTAAAACTGCCAAAATATTAATGACAGAATCTGTGTGCACAAAGTAATGTACAATTCCTTTATGAAAAAATTGTCTTCATTTTGGAAGCAATTTTGTGATCTTCACAAAAAATAAAATGCACTTCTCTGCATGTAAATATGCAAGTATGTTGGGTTTCTTTTCATTGTGACAAAAAATGTAGGTGATTTCATGCTGACAAAAAAAAGTAGAATTGAAGTCAGACAAACAATGAAACTATGGTGCTCTTAAAACTTTGATAAGTAGCTTAAATTAAGTCTATACATTACTGTAAGACCAAGTCACCCATAGAAGAATTGTCCATATTGATAGGTGGCTGTTCAAAAGTTTCATGTTTGTTCCAAAATCAAATAAACTACCCATTTTGTATTTGCTTTAACTAGCAATAGGGTATAAGAAGAATAAATTCATATATATGAGTACTTTAATTTAAGAATCAATGTCAGATTTTCAGAATTGTGAAAAATATATTACAGCACAATATAAATCAATAGGAAGCTTGTTTTTCGTTGATGTTTAAATGTCATGGTTTACGCAACTGTTAACATGAAATCTTCAAGAACTAGTATTCTGCAATAATTGTACATTCACAGAAGTATACAAATATACAGCAAAAGTTTTTTCAAGAGCTATGACATGATCATCCCCCTTTGGGTAAAACGAGGCATCAATACCTGTAAAAGAGGCCTAAGTTTTATTATAGCCATTATAATTTTTGGTAATCAGATACACATATGTGAGTGACATCATATGCTCCTAAGTGATGCTTTACAGGCCAAAAAATGAAAACCAGACCAGCATTTATCATTACTACATACATGCGAAAAAGTGAACAAAATTGAAAGATTTTGAAAAATTGTATATAAATTCTTCTACTTTAATGTAGACTTTGTCCTCTTTAATTATTACTCAAATTGAATTCTAGAATTAAGGAATTTTGATACTGATATAAAAAATAACAACATTTCTTAAATCTCATATTTTTCATTTGATAGAGTTATAGGAATATAAAGATAGGTCCTTTTACTTATTTTTGAAATATCAGATGGTAGAAAAAGAGCCTGTGCGGAAAATGTCTCCGGGTATTAAATGGATGGAGAGAATGGATGGAGAGAAATTAAAGAATTATTTTTAAATTTTCCATAACAAAGAAAAGAATATTTTTATATCTTTTTGGTTTAAAAAAGAAAAGTAATAAGATAAATTAAATAAAATTTGCCATATAAGAATTAAAAAAATATTTTTTGCCAACAGTCTATGGGAGATAACTCTTATTTATTTCAAACTAATTTCAGTCAAACTTTTACCTTTGAAAATAACAGATCTTACCAATTAATTTGCAAGTCTATAGGACATAGAACAATGTAAAGTACTATGTTTCTGTACACAATTGTCTTAATGTATTAATTGCTAAGGGAAAAACCTGAAGTGTAACATAATATCAGTAAAATGGGAAAATATTAGCAGTAAACATCCTTCATTTATTTTTGAAGCCACAGTTTTATCAACTGCTGAAGAGATATATTTGTAATATAGTTGCTGTACAAATTTTAGTAGGAATTTCAAATCATAGTTCTTGTAAATGCAACATCAAACTTTGAAAAAAGCAAACATTTCTTATTATGAACTACACAATACACAACGTTAAGCATAAGTATTCATTTAACAAATATATATTCAACTTAATAAATATGAATATGTTTATATCAATCAATTCTTTCTGTACAAGTATTGGTGATTAATGAATTTAACATATATCTTTATCTTTTATATTTTTGATATTTTAAGTTGTCAGCATAAAAACTACCAAATTTATAAATATTTTTGATTTATCGCTAAAGTTTGTTGTACAAACTGGCAACAGGGGCATTGGAATGTATTTCGTTGTTTCTGGGAAGACATTTAAATAAATAAACAAATATAATATAACACAAAGAAATCTTTTTGACTAAAAATATATGGCACTGACTATATATTCTAAAAGCCATATTCGTGCTGTATTACCAAGAAATCATGTACACATGACCTGATGTTTTTCTCTCTAGAGCCACATTCTAAACCTTTCCTTGTTTGTAGCTACTGTGCAATGACTTCAGGTGTTTTTAATAGGTAATCAACATCAAAAATTAAAAAAATAAATTTTATTTTTTGAAGTAACAATCATTACAAAAAATGTTTGTGGAAACATTTGAAAAATCAATCTGGTTAAAATACAAATCCTGTGTCCACGCTTTGCTTACAGGAATCTGACAACACTCTGTTCAATGATATTCCTGCTTACAAATTTTTGAAGATGTGAAAATGATCTCAAAAAGGTTATTTAAACAAAAAGAAAAACTGAGTGTTGTCAGATCCATGATTCAAACTTCCACATTGTATATGATGTGTACAATGAACTTTTGTATATATGAAATGTTTAGTCTAAACTTTTTTATCACAAAAACAAAACAATATCACATTGAAATACATGTATAATGTGGTAGTCTTTGTGATGGTTTCATACAGCAGTAAGTTTCACTTTGTATAAAAAAAAAAAATTCTTTAAAAGATGGTAAACTATACAGTTTTGGCATACAATCACTAAGAATGATAAGAAAAATGCAACTTTACACTGAAATAATGCCAACATTAAAATCTAATATTTGACAAAAAATATTTTTCAATTTTTTCAGTTGAAGAAACCAAAAAAAATGTTGTCTATGTATGATGATCATAATTTGGATATTATCTGATAATAAACCGCTCAAAAGAATACTTAAAACTACAAATTATATGCCAAATTAATAATTGATAATTTTAATGGTTTTGTAATAAGGATATCATATCTGTTATATCAAGCTTTAAGTTTAATTTTGGGTAACCTGCTAAAAAATAGAATATAGTGAGTGGGTTTTGTTTCTAACACATGTCTTAAGGAATGATATTTTTTTTCCATCACTATAAATTTTGACTATCAGCATTGTTCTAAATACCAAGAAGTTACAACCTCTTTATTTTGAATTATTCATCATGTGACATACAAATTTAAAAAAAAACCAACTTTATCATATTTTTGTCTTTACTGTTTTATTAGTTTTCAAAAAGAAAAAAATATGTATATTTTTTTCTGATGGTATGTACCTGTACATTCTTTTTCAATTTTAAAATAAACTTTTTGGACAGGACAGGCTGTTTCATCTATAGCAATGGGATAGATACTATCCAAGATCCTCTCATACTTTCAGTGGTATTTAATAAATTGATTTATTAAACTTCACGTTTAAATACCAGATTTATATTGGTTAAACTGGAGGAGACTTTTACTCTATCCCATGGTTCAGCAGGAGACAATTTTTTTAATATCACCCTCTCCTGTGGACCAATCAAAATCTATGATATAAAAGATAAGGAATTAAATTGATACCAATAATTTTTTTCTACCTTTAGGTCTCAGTCCTTTTCATAGGCTGTCCACATAAAAAAACCTTGCTTCACTTATAGTAAATTTTGAATTTTATATACATAAAATAAAACCTCTATAGTTTTTTAATAAATAAAGATTTTTCTTTAAATGGCTGCAATTTTAAACTACTTACAATTTGACTATGTCAAGTTAACATTTAACATTATACTAAACAAGAGAAGAAAAATGCGTAGAAATTGAAATATATAGTTTTTAAAAATATGCAATATAAATTGTTTGAACATTTTAGTATCTATGTTGCTTTAATATTATTGACATGACAATATACCATACATGTATAAACAGTATACATACAGTGATCGGGAAGGACGTGCGCCTTGCGCCAATTGCGCTTATCGACCAGAAATGGCGCATAGAGTGACAAATGTAAGCGCCCGCGTGGCGCATGATATTTTTCACTTCGTTTTGAAACGTTGAGATATCGTCAAATAGATTTCCGATCGTATATTGTGCCGCCATGTGTGCGTACACAACTGTGTAGTGTTTACTCCAATTATAGGAGCACCTATATATTTTTGGGACGTCTCGGGTGTTTTCCTATGGTAATAATAGCAACATATGGTATGACTGATTACCCAAAAAACGTAATTAACCATCATTCATGATATAATTTTTTTATAAACAACTTTAAATTTGTGGAAATTGGCTAGTACAGGCGAGAATTCTTCTCTAATTATAATCTTTTAAGTAAGCTTGCTATTATTTCAATTGAAAAATTCAAAAGCCTTTTTATGAATAGCATAGTATTTGTCTCCATAAAAGGGGCTTAACTGTCCTTGTCAATTTTTTTGGTCTTTGGCTCGTTTTGACATTTTGTAAACATGCCTTCAGCGAATTGTTGTTGTGTCTTATCAATTAACGTTCCTCTATACTGTTATTCTTGTCATCGTGATGAAGTAATAATAATACAAGTGCAGAGGAAATGCCAGAAACGTCCTCTACTACAGAACGTCTGGAATAAGTATGGTATCGACAAAGACCCAAATTTAATGTAAAAAAAACATGAACATGAACAAGGGAACAGTACCAGTTTTAACATTGTAAATAAAGGTTATCGTAAATATTCCCCGGTTTGGAAGAAGTTATTGTATATTCATTGAAATTGAAACTACAAAATCACAAGAACAATATCCATGATATTAATTAGAATCATACTTGTAAGTACAGTGAAATATACCCTTTTATATTGTAAACGAATGGCCCACTCATTTGACAACATGGCCCATTAATTCTAAAAATGGCCCATTGAATTTATTTTTGCGGGGCCCTGGGCCCATAGAGAAAAAATCCTTCCAGATCACTGTACATACTTAAATAAATAAACTCTGTAATAAATTAAATACTATATATATATATATATCATTTGAAAAATAAAGCTTAAATAAATCTGGACGGTTCAATTTGTCACAATATACTTTCAATAACAAAAAACAATATCATATGTAAAACATATATGAAATAAAAACAAATGCTGTGAATTTAGAACACTGTTGAATTTTATACATTCTCCATATACAAGTATCATATTCCAATATCAATGAGACAATTGTGTCAGTGTTCAAATAATAAACTTTGAATAATAATATACAAACCAAAAGACATAATTATATTACATCTGAACAAAAGGAAAATGGTCATAAGCACTACAATATGCATTACTTAGTAATTAATTCTCATTATATTCTGCAAAAAACTTATGTAATATAATTACACCTCATAGAAGTAAAATTAGATAATAAGTTTTCATATGCAAAGAGCTTGTCATATTCATGTTGTTTTTAAAGGGCACTTCACATAAATAACCTTCAGATTGAGTTTTAAATCTCTTTTGGCTATGTTACCATTTCTTATAAGCTCACATTTTATACAATATCATAATATCTATTTAAGTATTTTAAATTTATTGGTAAAATTCAGTGATTATTCTCAACAGATTTTAAAATTCTACAGTAGTGTATGTTTCACAGATCTTAAAAAATAAATTTTCTGCAATATTTGCATACAGGCTTCAAATTTACCAAGAAAAGTTATATTATTCTTATTACCTAAACTTTTAGCCACTTCTAATATCTGACATTTAAGTCATGACAAGTTATAAAATTGTTTTTACAATATCAAACTTATGTGAATCTTCAAAGAACAATTTACAATACAAAAATTAATTTCTGAGGCAAACAGTCTAGGGGAGATAACTCTTAATAATTTTCTACTAAAATTTCAATTTTATAAGTATAGTCAATTTTTACAAACCAAGAGATCTTAACAATTTACTACATCTTTGTGAGTATATATGTAGCAATAAAAAAAAAATAAGGTACAGTAGAACCTTCCTGAGTGACTAGTCCTTTTGCATGATGAAAAGGTCCTTCAAAATAGTTTTTTTTCTTTTAAAAAGGTTAATTTTACACATATACAAAGGTCTAAAAAAAGAAAGGTGTTTCTTTGAGCAATAGCAAAGATTTCAATTTAGTTCTAAAAAAATCACATACAAATGAGAAAGTTTTTTTGTACATGTAATAACAATAATTGATGTAAAATCTTTTTTCCTGGTTATTTCATAATATATTTTTGATCTGTCTCCCTTCCAATGATGGTCTGCCAAAATCAAACAGGAGTTTACAAATCTGAGATTCACTATGCATAATATCTTGGTGTCATGAACCCATCTACTCTTAAGTCTGAGTACATCTTCTATATGGTTGATTACAATGTGCAACATTAAATGATTTGTGACTTATGTGTACTAAAACGTAGCACCTTGACTTGACTTTATAACTATTTATTATCATCATCTACAAAGAAAAAAACAATTATTAAACAAGAAACTGTATATAAAATAATAAACATTATTTTGTAATTCTATCAAGTCACTTCTGCTATCAGGTGATAAGCACTGTGCAATTGCAATCTCAGTGTAATGTCAACTTTCGTTGGTGACTGAGTAACCTCGAATAGCAAACTCGTAGTTACTTTTTTACAAGAATTTGATGGAGTCAAATATTAAATTTTATTGAATCCTAGTTTTCATTTTTTTATAGTAATTTATTTTATTCTTGTTTGGGTTTTAGATTACTATAAAGTAAACAATGGCGGACACCATGATCCAGATCTTTGGAGACAAAAAGTTTTAGAAAACACATTATAAAAGGCTACAAATATAGATGACTTTCTAAGACTAGATGATGGAGTCTGAATTTTATTTGACAAACGCAAAGAGTCTAAAACTAGGTTCAAAATTTCCAAAGACTCATCGAAGCCTGTTGCACAGTGTAAGACCCCTACTTGAATATGCTGTCTTCTTCTTAATTCTTTTTAAACTTTGATACATTTCACATGACCAACCTATTTTATTTTTGTAAAGTTCTTGTAGTTCTGGGTATAATGGGAGTTTTTATTGTATTTTTTACATGACTTACCTCAATATTTCTGTATAGTCCTGGGTATAATAGGAGTTTTTATTGTATTTTTCACATTGTCTACTCCTCTCTCATACTCATCAACATCAGCTAAGTCTTCATCCAGTGAAGAAGTTAACTGTTGTAGTAACAGATCTACTGCCTGGAAAATATAAATTGTTCATACCTTTAAAGTATATAAATATATCTATATCTAAAATAGTTTATGATTTCTGTAGTTAAATAACAGTGCAATATAAAATTGTAAAATAATTTTCATCAGATTTAAAACAGGTTTTTCCAGATTGATTTTCGTTCCTTTTCTCAGTACCTATCTTTTCTTGCTTGTTGGAAGAAATACAGGGAGTACTTACAAATATTTGTTATCAGTTCTTAACATTTTTTATTCTGTTTAGGAATAAAGTGTTGATCTAAAATCTTGGTAGTCTCCATTGAATTGTTCACAACTTGTCTAGATTTGCAGGGAGTTAGACATGTCTTTCAAGCATTGTTAAGCTATTGTCTCACTGATGATTACCCTGAATCACTTATTATTCAAGATATTTTAAGACAACTTTGCTATAATGTGTCGTCTTACAGGAAAATCAACTCAACTGGAAAATCTAATTACAACTATGACCTAATAGAAGTAAAGAAACAAGAAATATGGGGTGAATGTTCATGAAAAACAAAATCATGAAATACTAAGAAATAACTAGTAGACCTATTATGGCTGTTCTAGTTTTGAATGCTTTTGGTAGATCTTCACTATTTAAACTTAAAGAGCTCTATTTTTACAGCCTGGTCAAGTCTGCCCTAGCATTGACTTTAATAATCTTTGATAATATTCATCCTTGACCTCTATGAAAACCAACTTATTTTCACCTAGCCATTTCTAGTGCAGCAATTTATTTTCGCAATCTCTGTTCACTATCTAAGTATTTTATAGAAAAAGAAGATCCAAGATTGACATATTTGTGACAATTCACATTCATGTATTTTTTAACTTCAAAATTACACATATATGAATGGCTCTCGAAAAATTAGTTGGTTTATAGTGTATATGTATTATACTTACTACATCAGTAGTGACTTTTTCATGTAGTTTCCTGAGTGGGTTGTTAGATGTTGTTTTTTCTCTGTGATCTTGTACAGTGTAAAATTGTTCTATTAACAAGTCTAACAATAAATCTGCAAAATAAATGAAGCAAATATAAGTTCATATACTTCTTTGGCTTTAAGAATTATAAGATTTTCCTCATTTCCGATACAAAATGGTCAATCATAGAGAAGAAAAGAAATCTGAAAAAGTAAATTTATGCTTATGTTCAATCCTTTAAAAAGTGTTTTTCTAATTCACAGTGAATTAATCTGTAAGGGTCAATTTAATATTCTAATATTCATTTTTTTTTAAATATTTATCTACAAGCTTTCTCTTTACTTCAGGTAAATTTAATTTAAACTAGACAAAGTGATGCCCCCGCACTCCACTCTGAAGTAACTGTATTATAACAAAGTCAATTTAGGACTGTCTTTAAGATATTATTGTGTCTGGGAGACATAAATGATGCCCCTACAGATGCAAAGTGCTATTTTAAAATACACAAAGTTGAGCATGGGAGCACATAGGTCTATGGTTCACTGGTAGGAGGAGTTATTCGTAAACGCTATGCACCTCTTATGCAAGTATATACTCCAAAAATGACAAAGTTCAACTATCTCCCAAAAGAGCAAATATTAATAAAAATCAAAACCCTGACCACATGCACACCTTCAATATATGTACAAACAGCCAGCAAAGTGAAAACTTCCTAGCATTCAAACTGTAGGAGGAGTAATCTGGAATAGCTATATGCCCATAATGGGACGGATGGACAGAAGGACAGAAGGACAGATGGAAGGACGGACGGACAGGGGTAAAACAATATGCCCCCAACTTTCAGTTGCAGGGGCATACAAAAAACTCTCTTTGCATAGATGTAACTTAAAGTTCAATAAAAGATGAGCCAACAATTTTCCAAGTGTCAACTCAAATAAGCCTTTAGGTGTACTTTACACACTGTCCAAGCTTAAACTATAATCAATGGATACAATAATCAACTACATCAATTAAACCAACAAAAAAACTCCCTAGTTGTAGTATCTAAGGGTTATGGGTGCAATCAACAGTTTTTTTCTATGACGTCATATTTTAAGGGACCATGTCTAAGTGACCCTTAGTGGTGGAATGGTTAATAAAGATACTTGTATAAAACTAGATATCAATGGAATCAGAATTGTCTCTAGTTTATATTGAAATAAAAATATAGTGTACTTTTAGTATAGTAAAAAAGTTCTATCCAGAGAAAATGGGGAAAAAGTTGCCTAATCTGAACATAAAAAACCTGAAATCAGCTCATGTGCATACCCATGTAAACATGATACAGGCACATCTCCCATAATCAAAACTGTATGAAATTCATAGGTTTTTACCTGGCCTTTAATAAAAATCATGTTTCAGGGTACGGTTTCCTGCTTCCAAAAGAGCTACAGTGGCTGCAAATAAGTTTTCAATTTTCACTGCCAAAACAACAGGATGTTTACAGTGTTGTCTCCCCTCAAAACATGTATATTTAATCTAATTTTTAAAATTATTTTAATCATTTAACCTGTTTAAATTGAAAGCTAATTAACTAATTTATACAATCAAATACAAAATACATGATACTTTTCCACCAATTATATGAATAAAAAGGGATTTCCCTCCATGGTTATTTTTAGTCGGGGAATAACCCCTAGTTTTTTATACAAAACTGTTTATAGCACCCTATAATTAACAAGCTGGATTATATTCAGAATCAATGAATTTTTTTCTCACAATTGAAATTTTTATTGTTAACTGAATAAAAACTTTTAAGAATTTCAAATAAGCATGATTTCTGTTTCACCATACTTGTCCCAACCTAGATACATTAAAGATTATATTACAGAATTTTATTTTATTTTGGCACTTGTTTATTCAACAAAATTATTAAAGCAAACAGAATGTTTAAATATACAAAAGATTATGTTTCTATCAATCATGAACACACATCAAACTACTGTGATAATATGCAGACTATGTATAGATTATCAGGTTTTCTGCACATTTACATCATAAATTCTAAAACAATTATTTTGTATCAATGGTTCTGATTGGATGACAATCAACCTACAATTCTCTATCTACCTGTCTGTAACTAACGGAAGCAGACCTTTTGAATTCTGGAATGTATTGACATGTTATTTCTCCAATAATAAGCAAAAAAAACTTTTTGCACCTAGAAATCTTCTTTTTATATAATTTAATTTGTTCTGAGGCAGACAAGAAGTCAGAAAATACCCAGTGTTTACATTCGACACCGGCAGCATACCTATGACATCACCTAGTTTAGGTGCCAAAGAAGATAACATCATTTCTGGTAATTTATTTCAATGAAAATTTTACAGGGAATAATGACTAAATTGAATGATTTGTTTATTTAGAATATAGATAACTGTATTGAATTTGAAGCTTTATGGACGTCCATCTGAATGTCGCAAATATCCGTTTACATGTCTCCGCTATGTGTCGCCCACAAAATTAAAGCTTCAAATACAATACAGTTATCTCTTAAATATCAGCTGCAAGCCACAATGTGAACCTTTTTTATAAGTAAGCATAGCAAACAGGCAAAAAGCTTCACATTTTGCTGAGTGGGTGATTTTAGAATATCTTTAAGCATTAAACATGATAATCTGTTTATCTATCAGTTTCTGGACTTTTTCCAGCTCCTTCAGACAGTTTCACACTTGACATCAATATTAAGCCTGGTAAATTCTCTGACACATTGTGACATCACTGATAACTTCTCATCACAATTGTGAAGTTGCTGACAAGTTCTGCTCATATTTCAAAACTGTGATAAGAGAACTATAGGGCAACTGAGCAAGGTGATATAGGTACAATGACAGATGATAATGAAGTGATATCTTACCATCTAAATATTTATTAGCATGATCACTTTGTGACCATACACGTCCCTGACTAGCTACCATGGACAATATATAGTCCAATAGAATAGATTCCTGAAGTTTATCTCCTGCCTGCTTAGCTACCTGTAACAATACCATCATAGAAATTCAGTCAATTAGCTTATAGTGTATTACTGCTAACTAGAATATATTTAAACATTCAATTTATACAAGCTACACATAAAATCCATAACTTTTAATACAGAAAGATGTGTTTCAATGATGTTTTCTCTATACCTTATCTGATTTATATGGTTGAACCAATTTCATATATTCCTAAATTATTGCTAGCTACCATAGCTTTTGTCTTCGAAATTGATAATGGGTTTATAAGGACATGCCCTGTATATAGCCATTATATGAGACATCCTGAAGTTTTATTTTAAATCTTGTAATTTTTTTTAACTTTCATCTTTGCCATTAAGTTTTAAATACGTTTAAACATTGCAGGGTAAAATGAATGTAGGTATGTTGTAACAGAGTTCCAAGTAAATTTTGTTTTCCACATGACATAAGAAATACAGAGAAAAATCTTTGAATTTTTTGCAAATTCAAATTTGATATTTAGAGTTAACATGTCAATAATGGGAATATACATAAAACAGTTGAATGCTATAAAAATAAAATGTTATATGTCTGAAACAAATGATAATATATATCAAGCATAAACAATTATTCATGTATAACAAGTGAAATTGCGAGCTACTGCTCACTGATAATACCCCTGCCCAAATATTTGGTAAACAAGAAGTTGTTGAGTGACAAATCTGAAAATGCATCACACGGTATAGCTGACTCATATAAACCCTGAAACCAAATTTCAGAAATCCTTGTAATGTAGTTCCTGAGATAAATGTGACAAAAAATTTCAACTACTTGGATGTCATGTGTAAAATGATGTAAGTGTTCGGTAAACAGGAAGTTGTTGAGTGATGAATCTGAAAACGCATCACACGGTAAAGCTGACTTATATAAACCCTGAAACCAAATTTCAGAAATCCTTATGATATAGTTCCTAAGAAAAATGCGACGAAAAATATTCATGGGACGGACGGACAGACCGACTGATGGATGGACGGACGGACAGACAGACAGAGGTAAAACAGTATACACCACTTTTTTAAAGCGGCGGTATAAAAACTAATTTACATGCCAAACATTTGATATAATACAATGTAAACTAATTACACATCAATATTCATATAGTCTAATGATTATCCAAAGATAACATAAGTCCTATCTGAAGTTTATGTTTTAACACATTTTATTTAATAAGGGTAGAAAATGATTTGAGAACACAACAATCCACCACTCACCCTTGTAAAACAAAAAGAAGCAGTATTTTTTTCACATTTACCGTAAATGAAATGTTCACTGTCAAAGGGAAATAACTCTATTTCATATATTTTTTAAAATGATTAAATTGTGATACATTATTGTTAAGATTTCAAAAACAATAATGTGTAAATCCTTGCAAAAAACGTTATAATTATATTGTAATTCTTGACTTAATATTCTTTTCATCATGGGGAATACCCAGTACATGCAACCTAAAGGTAAAATTAGAACCTCTTTGGGAATAACCAATACATGCAACCTGAAGATGAAAATGGAACATCTTATTTACTGTGAAACAGACTTGGTGAATGTAGGTTTTGAAAAATCAACAAACTTTTTACATGAATTCGAACATTGAAAGGATCATAGGAGCTATCAATAAAATATTATTTAATTGTTGCATTTTAATTCTTCACCATGTCCCCCATTTTTAGGTCTTTCCACTTTTCTGTGGAAAGACCTATTGGTTTTCTTCTGATTATTTTTTTTTTTTTTTTCTTCCGCCAACTTTTGTTCTTGCGATAAATTTTTGTTTTGCAAGATGTCGCTTAGATGTTTCGTATATGATATCGAACAGTTTATGCGCCTTTGAAATTGACCCTGCTTAACCGAATACTTTTCTTTGTAGGAGTTATCTCCCCGAACACTGTTTTCCTTGTCCGTGCATCTCCTCCGTAACCGTAAAAGAAAGCGACAAATTTATTTTACCAAATTGCTCGTTATATCCTCAGGATGTTTTGTCCAATTTTGACCGAAGCGATACGTAAACTCCATATGAAAGTTATTTCCCCTTCTGTATTTGACATAAGGGATATATAAATGTATAGCATGAATGGTAAGTGATAGAGACCTAAGGTATATTGATTTGAGTTCCTTGGTTCATTTAAATGAAATTGAGGCCAAGGTCAAAGGTCAAGGTCATATTCTAAATTTTGACTTTTCCTTGTTATTTGATCTCCTCTGTCACTTTTAAAATTACAAATTAAAGAACTAGTGCAAAATGTTTGCTTAATTGTGATTAAGATATGATACATTTGGTCTGAAACAATCCAATGATATCTTATAGGAGTTATTGTCCCTGAAATGATTCAATTTAAGGTAAATTGATTATTACTCCAACTTGGTACATGATAAAGCCATAGGGTCTTTTGCCAACTGATGGTTGACATTTGACCTTGAAAAAAGTAAACCGAGAGTGACCTTGAGTGAACCGGAAGTAGTATTTTTTGCACTTATTTCATGGAAAAGTACCTAGAAACCATATATTTTTTGAATTGTCATACATTAATCTATCATTTGAGACCGGAAATGATATTTTATAAACCGGAAGTAGCATATTATCTCCCTTATTACAGGCATAAGTATATATAAACCATATATTTTTGGAATCAGTGTAAATAAAGCTATCATATGAGACCGAAAGTGACATTTTCTAAACCGGAAGTAGTCAATTATCTCCCTTTTTACAGGCAAAAGTATATATAAACCATATATTTTTGGAATCAGTGTAAATCAATCTATCATATGAGACCGGAAGTGACATTTTCTAAACCGGAAGTAGCCAATTATCTCCCTTTTTACAGGCAAAAGTATATATAAACCATATATTTTTGGAATCAGTGTAAATAAAGCTATCATATGAGGCCGGAAGTGACATTTTCCAAACCGGAAGTTGACAATTATCTTTTTATTTTCATTTGTTTTACTTTAGGATTATTTTATCTTTGTCATATGAAAGAGTGTAAATGTGTGTGTAATTTACACATGAAGAAATTTTTCACTTATCATTACTTGTATTCTTGTTAAATCAATAAGGTCTTGAAATGACTATTTGGGAAAAATTAGATCTGACCACAAACAAAATAGAAATAAATCAAAATAGAAATATTACTACCTCTCTCAATTCTCTCCTTTCTATTTTAGAGTCATACTGACTAAGGACTTCCTCGGCGATCTCAGGAGCTTCCTCGTCCACCTCTTGTACAATAATATCCTCCTCTATAATCTGTTCTATTACAGCATCTGTTATAACATCATTTATCTGAAATACAAGTTATCAATTCATATCTATATTGTTTTCATTATTGCATCAAATAGTTTCAATTGCTTCAAAACAATTTTTACCTAAATAGCAAACACTTTTTTAAAGCAAGCACCAGCCAATTTTGTAGCTAGTCAGACATTTTTCAGATCTCATTTTCCGGTTATTTTCATTTTCGTAATCTTACTTTAAAATATCCATTCTCTTGCTTAAAGATTGAGAATTTCTCAATATTTAAAAAGCAAATTCTCTTGATATATCAATTTTAGAAAGTACACTGATTTTTAAATCTTCTTTTTTTATAAACATTATTTAATTTTAATTATTTTGACAAGAATGGAAAGCGAAATCTTCTAAGGTGTACTATATTTTTTTTTTTTAATTTTGACTCAATAATTTTTAGAAAAAAGGAATCAAAAATGCATTTTTTCAACAATTACAACAAATAAATAACTAATTTTAAATTAAATTGGTGTTCATTCTTCATGTAGAAAAATTACATTTCCTGTATTAAAATATACATGTTCAAATACCCTATACTGTTAAATAGCAATAAAATGGGGAATAAACCAATACATTTTATTGGGAACATGCTCAGGTAAGGGTATTACAATTTTGTTTAATGTTTCAAGCAAATTACTGATAACTGTAAATTAAATTAACCTTAATTATTGACTTATATCAGATGATTATGACACTGATTTATAAAATCTGCTTGCATTTTTTTATACATTTTTTTTTCGTCTTTTCTTTGAAAAAAAACTTGATCATTCATATTTCACACATATTAACAAAATGATTTTATGTAGTGTGGATCAAAAGTAATAAGGTATACGATCGAGGTCAAGAACTGTGTATTAAGTTAGCTCTCTTCATTTATGTAACACAAGAGATAAACAGTGGTCAAGTAAAATTTCATTAGAGTGTGTGTGATTCCAATAAATCCAAACAAGTGTACTTGTTTGTAAATCAGGACAGTTGTCAATCATACTGTTATTGTGTTAGTGCTCTTACTTGCCTCAGGTAAGAACTGGAATAATAAGCATTTGAAAAGTGTGAGAATCAACTTTGATATGAATTCACTTGTACCAAATTTTATTCAATTACTTTTTCTGTCAATTCAGAAATTGTTGCGAGGTTTTTATTAATGTGAATAACCGAAATAATAAGAACTCGCATTCTGATTTCTGATGTATATATCTGTATGCAGCTTTTCCTGAAATCGCAATAATTAATCTCGCATTTGTGTCCATTCTTAAAAAATCGCAATAATCAATGCATGCAATATTTCTGAATTTACAGTAATTGAAGCATAAGATACTGATAAAATACTTTCATTATTCATTTCAACTGCTTAAATTTGATGTATTACCTATTAACTTTAATTCATAAATATTAATATATTATAAATTTTGATTTTCAAAGGAACTATATGCAAGAGTTCATCTAAAATTTAGTAGCTGGTCAACCTCTCTTTTGTTAATTTAAGGCCAAATAACCAGTCTTCATGATAAACTTTTGAATCTAAAGGCCCTAAGCTGAATTTTACGAAAATTTTAGTTAGATTCTATTGGCCTGTAGATATGATTTTTACAGGCCCGACAGCATTTTTACAAGCCTGGGATGGTGGGCCTGTGGTTGAGCGCGAAGACTGCAAATAACATGTCAAAAGTTGGCAGTAGATGATTAAAATGGTGTATAAACTTTCTGCAAGTCAGAAAACACATCATTAAATTCATGATGTGTTTAAAACTCAGAATTCTGCGATATCTTAAAATCCTTAGTGATCACATATATCCAGCATGGCTGGAACAAAAATCATTCATTGATACACCTTCTGCAATACACATCAGAAACATATAAAATAATTTAATGCATATGCAATATTTTAATTTTTATTCTTGAGATAATTTTACTCATGGGTACTACTTCATTTTCTCTCTTTTGACCATTTGTTTATTGAAATTGCTATATCGTCTAACTTTTGAAGACCTCACTGTGCCTTTAATAACCTTTCCTTTTGTTTTTGTCTGGTGTGTGTAGGGCTTATGTGTATGTTTATCCTCTCTAATTGTAACGTGAAGCATATTTTAAGCCTTCCCTTCTAGTTTATCCTAATTTCTTAATAGTCTCTTTGATACATGGTAGATTAAAAGTTCTCATCTACTTTTGTAAGTAAAGAGGAGTTTTGTCATCATAAAAAATCAACAGGACTGCTATTGTCATTTCACAATTGGCATTTCCTAATGCTTTTTAAAAAGTTACTAAAAATTCATTGTTTGATCTTTTGACAAATAGTTAATTTCAAGCTGTTTTACTGTTTTTGAAATCGGTTGCTTTTAATTGATGTATACTTCTTATCTTCTTTAATTCATAAAAAGCATCAAAATTTCATTTCAATTGAATTTCAACACCCCTTGTTGTGGAATATGTTATGATTACAAAATATGTTTAATCGTCTGAGTAGTTATGAAACCTATACATTAATGTCATACCCTACAGTGTTATGGCTACAACGTTACCTTAGTTCAATGTTAGTACTTCTTGTATTTTCCAACACCCCTCATATACATACATTACCCAAAAGATATGGACACCTTCTCAATATTATTAGAAAATTTGAAGACCTTTGAATATACCAATTGCTTGTCACCAATTGTTCGACAGCTGTTTCATTGACATTCATTTGGCAAATAATGTAAATCTTAATAACCCTGTTCCTATCAGCAAAACTGATTAAAGGTTTAATTAATTTCAATGTTTATAAGGTTTTATATACCAATTCTTGTTGAATTTCTTCGATATGATCCTGGATTAAATCCTCTAATACTGAATTAACTGTGTCCGAGACATCCTCCTGTCCGACTGGGGCAGCACCGGCTACTAATTCATTTATTCTATCTTCAGTTGGTCTCTGCTGGGAAAACCCCATATAGCTGAAAGAGAAAGGAAAAATATTTGAATCTAAAACATTAATAAAATTTTGTTCCACAAATGGCAAAATAACACAGCATGCAAAATTAAATGGTAATATGATTTAAAACAAATAAAACAGTCCAAACCAGACTCGCTTTGTGTTTACATGTATGTCTTTTAAAATATCTAAAATTCTACTTTGGAGCAGAATCAGGACAAATGCATTGTGTTAGATAGGAAAAACCAATTGCACAATATATGATCTATTCAAAACTCAAGCTAGCACTTTTGAAAACATTCAATTTAAATTTAATAAGATGAAAAACATCTGTCTGTTGTTACCTTCAGGTTGTAATATATCAATGGGTCAATTGTTTAAAACTGTGTAGAATATGATCCAGATCTATTCATTTTCAGCTTCAAGTAATTTATAATGGTATGTATCACATGTATATAAAAAAGTACCTGTAGCACAAAGACTCTCAGTTTAAAAATATGACTTGATATATGAGCATCAGTTGTGGGAAGTATGTCCAGATCTAAGCTTGATGATGGAAATAATGGTATTTGAAACAATTACACACAAAAAAGATGAAAACCTTGGAAAAAGATCTATTACAATAGGCTGAATACAGTTTACTCACAACTATTTTAACAGACACACACCAAAACATCTATAACTAGATATCATTGAGATTGGAGCCATCTCTGTGGGCCCCGCTGTGAATAATGTGTGGTAAAAAGTTTGTATCTTTATCATTGGACATGGGGTTGTCAACTGAAACCAAAGTTTTTGACCTTGACCTTTGACCTAGGAAGTTGTACATAAATTATGACACACCCTCTGGTGTTGGTTTATATACATGTCAAGTATAAACTTTTAAATCATAACAGTTCTCAAGATATAGAGCGGACACGATCTTTACCATAGGACATGGGGTTGTCAACTAAAACCAAAGTTTTTGACCTTGACCTTTGACCTAGGAAGTTGTACATACATTATGACACACCCTCTGGTGTTGGTTAATATACATGTCAAGTATAAACTTTGAAATCATAACGGTTCTCTAGATATAGAGCGGACACAATTTGTTACGGACGGACAGACTGATCACTGTCGGGCGTCCGCCATTCGGCAGGGCCCTAATAATTTAATTACGGGCTAGTTGGACAGATCTCTATAATGTAAGAATGATATCAAACTATCTACTTGCTACCTTCATGGTAATTTTTACAGACCCCCTCCCCTCCCTCCACTTTCAAACATATATTAAGCATACTATTTTATTCATTATTAATTTGGAGAGAACCTAACATGTAAGAACAATAACGTACTCTCCAACCAATTCACTCATGGCTAATCTAACAGCTTCATTTGTCACGTCTGGTAAGACCTCTTCTAGTATCTGATTACATATGATCTGTGCTTTGTCGTAATATGGATGATTTCTCGGCTGAAATTATAATTTATTCTGTATTATGCATCTTCTTGAAAATATGTGCAATTTAAAACTGCTCCACAATACTGACTTGCAAAAGTGCCTACCACTAGCTTTTATACCAATACAAAATATTATGTATGTTCTTTATTTGCAACTGATTCAAACACAATGTGCTCAATTCATTATTGGTCAAAATTCAATTATGAAGATAATTTTTTTTTGTTTTTCTCCAATTTTTGCTATTGTGATGTCTTGAAAAGAGTCATTACATGCTTAATGACATCTTACAGAAGGAACACAATCATTTTGAAGACCATTGGAAACAAAATGTTTTAAGTTTGTCTACATGTTGTCTACAAATCGATAGAGTAAAACATTCCACAACCATATCTTGTACAATACAATATATTTCCGCCTTTTGACACTTAAATCTTAAAAAGGAATACGGACACTTTTTTAAATCAATAATCACCCCATAAAGGGCATGTTACATATAATGATAAAAAATACACATATATCATGTATATAGTGAAAATTCTTGTGATAATATGAAGTTACCAATAGCTGTTGTTTTCTTTTTTAAAAACCTTTATAACTAATCAAAGCCACAGTTGCAAATGTTTAATGTCATGTATTTAAATTTTTCACCAATAGTTTTGTGTGCTATTTGCAATAAGTAAAACTTACTTTCAATAGAATTGTCAAAAATTACAAAATAATAATATTTGAAATGTTTTCTTTGGTATGTATAATTGAGCATTAAAATATATCAAAGCAATAACTGTGTATGAAAGTTTTTGTTTGCATGTTGATTGAGCAGTTTTCTGAAAGACTGTTTTATTTACTTTATCTTCTACCTACAGCTAATTTGTTCAAATTTTCAATAATATAATCTACGGTGTCAACCAATAAACCAACTCTGTGGAATGCTACCAACTAATTTTCTAGCAATACAATTTAAAAGTAAAACGGTGAGCACAAAAACAAAAAGTTCAAACTTATATGTGGCAGCTAGCTATATCTAAAAATCTACTTGTGAAAACCAGACTTGGTTAAATAAAATATATGTCATTGAATTTTAAATATGACCTTTTACATGTCTTATGAAATATTGACAAATTATATTTAACTGAACCGCCTCAGTGGTCTCGTGGTAGCGTGTTCGCCTCGAGTTCGGGAGGTTGTGGGTTTCAAACCCAAGCCAGGTCAACCCAAAGACATTTAAAATTGCTATTTGCTGCTTCTCCGCCAAGCAAGCGGCATTAAGGAGTAAGAGCAAAGACTGGTCGGTTCGGAGTCAGAATAATGTGTCCGGGTATGGTGATATGTCTTCCTGCGGACTGTAACCTTGTGAACTAGCAAGTTAAAAATCTGGCTCATGGTGTCGCTCTATTACAAAGCAGGGTTCATATTCATATTACATTAACATGTTCTCGTCCTGAATATGCATATAATTTGCCGCTGGACGTTAAGCAGCCATCCATCATCATCATCTATCTAACTGAGTAATCAAAACAAATATTTATTTGTAAATAAATATACATCCCTCTATATTTTTAAATGTGCTTGTTGAAAGCCAATACCTAGGTGATCAATGCCTGTTTACTTCTAATCTATTTTTGTGGTTTGGTATCACTCTATTGCTATGAATTGCCTATTGCCTTGGTGTAGAATTTTAAACCATTCTTACAGAGTTTTTCTAAAGCTTGACTTATAGCATAAGTATAAACTAACAAATGAAGATATATGCCAACCTTCATTTCTAGTAGATAGTGACATTGTCTTTGTATCTTTTCAATTTAGTTTTTGTTTTACAATTATATTGCATTTTCACTTAATGGTCTTAATTGAAAATAAATCATTTCTGGCAATACATGTAAATTATGCGAATTTGACATGTTTAACACAGATTATTGTGTATAGAATAATTTCACTTAGAATATGTATATAATGTAATTTCAAAACACGCATATATAAATTATAGTCAAACCCTATCAACAGTATCATTAAAAATGTGTATATTATACCAATATTAGTTCTAAAAGAAAATAGAAAGCAGACAGGTGTGTATATGTTAGTGAAGTTATAGTACCATCCACACACAGAGTGGTTAGTAAGAGGGATATGTTAGCTACAAACCAGTTTATTTAGATCATTAAGTGTCTCTATTAGCAGATCTGGAATTATCTCTTCCAAACAGTCGTTAACAAACCAATTAACAAAACCCTCGGCAAAGAGAGGGTGATCATTGTAGTAAAATAAGGAAAGCAATTCCTGTCAAAAACAACAGCAAGACAACAGTTAGCAAATGTAAGGACAGCAGTTAATGTCACAATTACAGATGAGAAGTACAACAATTAGCAAAATAATAGACAGCAATTAATCTCAACAACAATGTTACAAGGTCAAGATAAAAATTAGCATAACTGTCTATCAAAAACAATTCTTAGACTACTGTGGATTCACTTATTTTCGTGGGTACCAATTTTCGTGGATTAAGGAAAACTTACATATTCGTGGATATTTATTTTCGTGGTTTTGCCGAAGTTTGCATACAAGCCTATAGGAAATTTGTCATTCGTTGAACATTTAATTTCGTGGTTCACCTTTACCCACGAAATCCACGAAAATTGGTATCCAACGAATAATAATGAATCCACAGTAATAGTTCATGTTTACATTTTCAAAGTTCTGTGCATGTCATCATGAAATTATTTTTCAACTACTTGCAATCTTGGGCATTATTTTCATAAAGAATTTGCAGAAATTTAATGGACTTATTTTTCCTAAAGCAATAAGAATTAATTTCAAACTGAAAAACACATTTTATATCATTATCATGCAATGACCAGAATCTTCTGTATATCCTCATATACAAATTCATTAAGATCCAAAATAAGGTACAGACGTTTGAATTATTAATTCATGGTCCATCGTTTACTGCAGTGAGTGTTGCCATATCTGAACAACATTGTTTCTAATGGGACAACTGAACTAAGCATCATTTTTGTAGCCTATTTGCTTCTTTTATCACAATTTCTAACAACCAAATTTAAACTGGAGTTAAATCTTAATATAGCAATTAGCTCTAACATTTCTATTAAAATAAGCAAATTTCTAATTCTTTACAACTTTTAGTCATTTAAAAATCCATTTGTTCTAGGTATTTAACCAAACCTACACAATTAAGATGTTAATGCAAATATTTATTAATGACCAAGAATTTAACACTATAAATAACAAAGTATTGCAAATATACTAATAGAATTTCTATTTTAATATCAGAAATACAGCAAACTTATGTTGAAGAAGTTAACCATTACCAAAGAATTATTAATATAAATATTTCAGATTGATGTTTGTAAAATGCTTTCTAAAAAGAAATTATGGTTATATTATTAATAAGGAGAAACCAAGTATCTTTACATAGATTAGAGAAATTAAGAAGTTAAAACAAATGAACATATTTAAGCCATGCAGAATTTTGTATCATGCTTTAGGACATCAGACCTTGATTTCTTGAAGAAAATAGAGGTCAATTCTTTTGGAGTATATTTTTGTCCTTTGGTCAAAATGTATATTTGTCTCATTGGCAATTACACATCTCCTTATTTCTATATTCACAATTAGCAATTACTGTAAACAACTTATTTTTGTGTATACATTAATTCACGTTCATTCTAGATGACTTGGCTGCAATTTATTTTCCAACTTTCTAATTTCCTTGCTGTACTTTAAAAGGAAAGACCCAAGTTTACATATTGCAATGATTCACATACATGTTATTTTGCTACTCTTGAAAGTCGCGAAAATAATTCACATGGGAAAAAAATTTGTTTACAGTATCAATCACTCACTGCTAGCTTTTTAAATTAACATTGTGACTATTTCTAAACATGTGACACACAAAATCAAATTACAATTCCAAAACAACTTAATCTTTTTCTTTTATTTCCCGAGTTAATCTTTTAAATATTTATGATTTAAAAAAATACAAGACTTTATATAATTTAGTAGAAGGGGACATTTTTTTATTAAAATTAATACCACACTTCTCATAATAAGTGTGAAGGAATAAATTTGCAAAAGTTTAAAAGGAAACTAATTTTGTCTTTACAATATGTTTTTTGTTTGAGAGTATGAAATAAAATGAAATAGAAAGTAAAACTATTTGGATGTGTAGAAAATGTTGTGATAGTTGTTTGGTTGTATTAACGAAGTTGTGTGCATTTCATTGACTGATAGGGATGGACATGATCGTGTGACATTGGTGCACTGTTATGTGAGGTCATTGCCTAATATTTTTGAGTATTAGGTCCTGTCAATGATATTGAAAAATATACGGCAGTAAGATAAAGGGAAAATATACAAATTGTCGATAAAACCAAATACATGGAATCTCTACTTAAGCTATTGTTCTTCAAGAAATCAAGAACTGATTTTGAGTGTTCCATTTAAAAGACAAAAAAGAAATTCCATCATTGCCACTGTAATCAAGTCTGATTAGAGAGTACAACGTAGTAAATAAATTTACAAAGACTCGTTCCTATAAATGAAGTCCTGTAAATTCAGAAATTATTGAGGGTTCTTATTTGAAGGGAAAATGTGACAGGACTTACAAGGCATTAATTTGTTTTGTTTGTTATTTACATTGGAAATGTTTTATTTCAACATGATCAGGGATGACAATATTCTCCAGAATAATCACCAGCATCAAATTTTTGTTGTCAGTTCCAAAACATTTGATTTGTGTTTTGTCACCTGTGCATGAATGTAAAGAAGCAAACATTTCAAATACTGATGATTTTGTTTGCCCCCAGACATGAAAATTTGTTGCCAGAATATAAAATTGCAATTGCCAATACTGGCAAAGCCCTGCCTATCAGCCAATGGTTTTTAAATTGCATTAATTAATCATTATATTTTGGATGATTTTCACAGATTCCCAATTATAGTATACACCCATAAATTTCTGACTTTAAAGCATTCAATATAATAACAATTGATTTTGTGATAATACATACTGGTTCATCTTTGTATCGTTTGGCCACCATGTCGTCAATATTCTCTGGTGTGAAGGGTGACGGTTGTGTTTCTATATACTACAAATACAATATTACAAATATAATTTCAATATTATTACATAAATGCAATACTTGTAACAATATAGACCCAATTTAGTAAATATTCTTTAAATTGTATAATCATTACAATAGCATTCTTTATCTTTTGTATGGCAAGACTTTTTTCCTATATAAAGAGAGAAAACTCCTATTAGTCTGAGACAAGAGAGTACAATTGTACATGGACCCAGAGAAACAATGATTTCTTTTTTACTTGAAAATGTAATTACTTATTAGATTCATTTTCAATTAGAGAATGATACATGCAAACAATATACCTAGTTATGTCTGAATTTACAAGTGGCTGATATCAAACTTTCATTGTCTTTAAGAGAATGTATTTGTATTGTAGGTTTCTATAAATTTATTGGTTTTGATATCTCCACAACATACTGTGAATTCTTTTATTTTCATTGAAAGATACAGGTTTGATTTTGTTTGCCATGTTTACCTTATGTGATGGTCAAAATAACATCCTATCATATCATCTAAATTCATTTGTTTCATTGGGCATACTTTACAAGTATTAATGAAGAAAATCTTTTGTATCATATACTGGTTTAATGATAGAATCTGTCTGAATCAATTGAGTACAGACCTGGGGTAATTAAAATGTAATTGTAATTAGCTGTAATTAATTACAATTTTGAAAGTAATTCAATGTAATGTGTAATTGAGCATATTTTCAATTACATGTAATTGAAAGTAATGAATTACATTGCCTTTTTGCCATGTAATTATGATTTACTTTTCAATTACTTTCAATTACATTTAAATAGTTGCATGGATATTTTAAACTTTTTTGGCTTTTCTGATGCAACTGGTAATTTTTATTTTTTCCTACATTTAGTATGCACTTAGTACTTTGTCTACTAAAACCATGATAGATGATATTAATCTTGCTATAACAACTGTCTTTTTATGCACATCAAACTCAGTTGCTTGTTTTAAAATGTTTGGGGTTCTTCAAAACATTTCTTGCATCAAAATTTTTGTTTCCTCTACCTTATATTTCTTCAGAACGTCATTTCTGTCTGAATCAAACACTTCATCTCTCCGTCTGTTTTGATGGTTTTCCTGAGCGTAGCCATTGTAAACAGGGAGTGAGTGATTCACTCTGGGACTTTTCTGAAATTTTGACTGTCTCCCACCATGAGGTTGTGAGTGGTGGACATTTGGCTGTTTTTCCTGGGCCCTCTTTGCCCTCTTGTCACGAGCCTTTTTACTTTTGTACCCATGTTGAGGTGGTGGGGGATAGTATATTTGGAATGGAGCTCCCCACACTACTTGAGGGGGTGCATGATGTCCTTGGGGAGGCTGATATGCTGGGTATCCATAGGCAGGATAAGGGTATTGCTGAGGCATGACATACTGCTGTTCATCGCCAGAGTCATCATCTGTATCCTCTCCCCAACTGTCATAATCTGGTGTTCTGAAATATAAAGCATTAAATTGTAACGGTAGACAAAAATATAATCTACCCATATGTAAAATATATAAGAACAAGAATGTGTCCATAGTACACGGATGCCACACTCGCACTATCATTTTCTATGTTCAGTGGACCGTGAAATGTGGGTCAAAACTCTAATTTGGCATTAAAATTAGAAAGATCATATCATAGGGAACATGTGTACTAAGTTTCAAGTTGATTGGACTTCAACTTCATCAAAAACTACCTTGACCAAAGACTTTAACCTGAAGCGGGACAGACGGATGGACAGACGAATGAACGGACGCACAGACTGAAAAACATAATGCCCCTGAGTGGGGCATAAAAATATTCTTTTACTCTCTTTATACATCATAACTTTATATATATATATATATATACCGTATGTAAAATAATATATTTATTTTTCATTGCATCATGCATCACGTGCGTGTCTGGCTGCAAAGAAGTACTTGTTTTGATAAGCAAAAACAGATGTCATGGTTAATTGATAAGTGCTCAATGTTCAGCAGCAAATATAACATGCATATTTAGATTGATAAAATGTTAATGTCAAATGGCATAAGATCATCTATGCCTGCACGGTTTATGAACTTGTATAAAATTAAATATACCATGAAGTACAGTCACTGATAGGTTAGCATGGTTTCATTTCACCAGATAAAGACCTTTCTTTTTTACAGTATAGATTTTTTAATATTTTGTTTGTACTTCTGTTCTGGTTATCTAGTATCCCAGTATAATAAGTATAGTGCTGTTACTGTTTCCTATTTATTACATGTTCTTCTATGTATCTTTTGTTAGTTCACTGTCAGATTGAGATTAAAAACTGGAGAGCTTAGATCTTTAAAAACTTGTTTAACCCTGCTTAATGTTCATGTGGATGTCAAAAATCAGAAATATTGTCAGCAAACTGGAAAACTTTATGTTTTTTGAGTTGAAACTGTAAATAAATATAAATATCTGACTTAAATTTTGTGGTTTTGTAACTTAATTATTGTATTTAATTCATTATTTGAATATGAGTTGATTCACTACATAAGTCAATTTCCCTTATTTTTAGATAGCAGGTATCCCATCTAACATGATTCCATGTTTAATCAGTTTTATTTCTATAACACTTACTGGTGACTACGTCTGTGAACAGGGGGGACAACTCCATATTTACTTCCTCTTAAGTTGCCCTTGTTTCTTACTTTATCACGCTCATGAGGAGTTTCGATTCTGAAAACATAATAAATATGTATAGTTATGAATCAATATAAATATTTTTCTTACACGAGATAAAAAGGAACACTTGAAAACACTGGAATTAAAAATACATTGGCACAAAAAAACAATTGTTTTTTTTATTAGTTTTTATTGGCTTTGAACTACATGTAGCTGTCAGTAACTGTGAGTACTCTTAGATCTGTACCGTGTGTCGTTTTTGTTGTGAGGGAAGTATAAATTCCCTGCCACGTCCTGTCTGTGTTTTTAGTTGCTTATCTGCTTTGCATGGATTTGATGAGTTAAGTCCTTTTCAATAGATTTTTAAAGTATATTCTTATGTTGTACTGTTACAACACTGCCCCAGGTTAGGGGGGTGGTTTGGTGCCATCAAACATGTTTAATACTGCCACATTCCATATGTGCCTGTCCCAAGTCAGGAGACTATATTAGGCCGTTTGTTTTCCTAATTGAATTGTTTCATATTTTTCATGTCTGGGCCTTTCATTGCCGACTATAAGGTATGGGTTTTTCTTATTGTTGAAGGCCGTACAGTTGCCTATAGTTGCTTAAATCCACTTCATTTGAACTTTGGTAGATAGTTGTCTCATTGGCAATCATACCACATCTCCATATTTTTATATCAAAGCATCTTAGTACAACTTACTATTTACTATAGTTCAGAAAAATATCCTTTTCTTGTTTGTTGGTATATATTCTCAAACTTTAATTTTTAACCTAAACATATTCTAAATGGAAATAAGACAGCTATATATATATATGACAGAAGTTGTCACTTGTTTAGACGTACTTATCAAATAAATATTTCTGTGACTGCATCTAACGATCCTTTACAACAGATAATTTAGCTAATCTGCAATCAATTCCATCTTCATACCTAATATATCATATACTGTGTTACAACTCTAGATTCTACTGACGAGGAAAGGTAACACTAGGCCACAGAAAGCTGAATTTTTAGTTCAGTCTAGGTGGCGGAGTGGTCTAGAGCACTGGACACAGTGCATGCGGTGTTGTCAAGATATCCCTATTGCATGAGTTCAAATCCCGGTGAAGGAAGAACAAAAATTTGCCTTTGCAAATTTGCAGATTTAACATTGTTGTGCTGATATTTAGAGTAATTATGAATATAATATGTATTTTCAGCCGTGTATCACCTTCACTGGTGATCCAATGGATGGATCTGTCGTAGAGTTGTCACTTGTTTAGATGTACTTATCAAATAATTATTTCTGTGACTGCATCTTAAGATCCTTTACGACAGATAATTTAGCTAATCTGCAATCAATTCCATCTTCATACCTAATATATCATGTACTGTGTTACAACTCTAGATTCTACTGACGAGGAAAGGTAACACTAGGCCACAGAAAGCTGAATTTTTAGTTCAGTCTAGGTGGCCAAGTGGTCTAGAGCGCTGGACACAGTGCAGGCGGTGTTGTCACAATATCCCAATTGCATGAGACGAGTTCGAATCCCAGCGAGGGAAGAACAAAAATTTGCTTTCACAAATTTGCAGATTTAACATTGTTGTGCTGATATTTTGAGTAATAATATATATATATATACAACTCGTCTAAACATCAGCCCAACAATGTTAGATCTGTAAATTTTCTATATATATATACAAATTTCAAGCAACTTTCAAGCTTTAAACACATTCATACCTTTTTCTATGGGTATTGTTATCAAGGCTTTGCACCTCAGAAAATAAAATCAACCAATCAAAATACTGGATTTGATGTTTCGAGCACAAATTTTACTCTGAGAACTGAGTAAAGTTTAATGACCTAAAGAGGGCTCTAAGCTATTACCATTAACCTGACTAAGCTTGTACTTTGTTGACACTGGGTAACTTAATAAAATATAGTACTTTTATCATTCAAAATCTTCTTTTATTTTTATAAACATTTGTATGTCAATATATGTATACAACAAACTAACCAAACAATATAACATGTTCAGTCTGGCTGATTCTTATCAATTAAAGTTAACTTCAAACTATAACTGTGAATATTTCTCAATACCTGTTTAGATAGGCAGGTGAGGTAGGTTTTCTATATTTGCCATACGGTGAATGTGATCTCCTTCCTCCTTCCTGTGGAGATCTGTTGTACCTTGCTGGAGGTGTTCCTCTTTGTGGTGAGTATCTGTTTGGAGGTGTATGTCCTTCACTTACACGTGACTGGATTCTCCTTAAACTAAAAATACATATACATAGATAATGATAAATAATAATTTATTTAATGAAGGTAACCCATTTAACAATGACATGTTAATCTTCCCTGAGGCTTTCAAAAACTATTAATACAAATAGAAAAAAAAGTACAAACAAAATAAAATACATAATACAGTTATATAAAGCAGCTAAGATATTGAATAAGCACATATGCATTCAACAAGAAGAAAAAAAAATACATTAGATTCAGGTATCTTCGTTCTGTACAGTTAAAAAATAATTTGAACATTTGATCTTAAATGTATCTAAATTATTTATTTTTTTAATATTATTTGTCAAATTATTCCAGGTAATAAGACCAGAATATTTAAATGTTTTTAAAAACAAGAGTGCACACGCTGAAATGTCTCGCCTTCTTTATTAATCATTGATATTATGTTGATAGTCCTAAATATAAAGCTTTATTACAACTGTCACATAAACTTAACATTAACCAAAAAACTAAACATTGACCAATGAACCATGAAAATGAGGTCAAGGTCAGATGAACCATGCCAGGCAGACATGTACAGCTAACAATTCTTCCATACAACAAATATAGTTGACCTATTGCTTATAGTTTAAGAAAAACAGACCACAACACAAAAACTTAACACTGAGCAATGAACCGTGAAAATGAGGTCAAGGTCAAATAAAACCTGTGCGACCGACATATAGATCATAAAATATTTCCATATACCAAATATAGTTGACCTGTTGCATATAGTATTAGAAAAAAAGACCAAAACTCAAAAACTTAACTTTGACCACTGAACCATGAAAATGAGGTCAAGGTCAGATGAAACCTGCCAGCTAGACATGTACACCTTACTATCATTCCATACACCAAATATAGTAGACCTATTGCATACAGTATAAGAAAAACAGACCAAAACACAAAAACTTAACTATAACCACTGAACCATGAAAATGGGGTCAAGGTCAGATGACACCTGCCAGTTGGACATGTACACCTTATAGTCCTTCCATACACCGAATATACAAGACCTATTGCTTATAGTATCTGAGATATGGACTTGACCACCAAAACTTAACCTTGTTCACTGATCCATGAAATGAGGTCGAGGTCAAGTGAAAACTGTCTGAAGGGGATGAGGACCTTGTAAGGTACGCACATACCAAATATAGTTATCCTATTACTTATAATAAGAGAGAATTAAACGTAACAAAAAATCTGAACTTTTTTTTCAAGTAGTCACTGAACCATGAAAATGAGGTCAAGGACATTGGACATGTGACTGACGGAAACTTCGTAACATGAGGCATCTATATACAAAGTATGAAGCATCCAGGTCTTCTAGCTTCTAAAATATAAAGCTTTTAAAAAGTTAGCTAACGCCGCCGCTGCCGCCGTAGCCGCCGCATCACTATCCCTATGTCGAGCTTTCTGCGACAAAAGTCGCAGGCTTGACAAAAAATCAGAATTAGGTCTTGGTACATGCATGACATGAATAAGTCCTGATGTTGTTGACCTGAGCGAATAATTATAAAGATCAGTACAAGCAGTAACTTTATTAGATAGATAATCAGGTGCTAGACCATTCATACATTTAAACATTAAAACAGCTTGAAAATATTGTATCCTCATAAATATAGTCATCCATTCAAGCTCTTTAAACATTTAAGTTGATGGAAATTTAAAAGAAACAGATAAAACTATCTTGCAGCACGTTTTTGGAGCTTATGAATCCTTTCCAGATTACAGTTTGTGGTAAGACCCCATACTGTACAACAGAAGTCAATAATGGGTAATATATAGCTATTGTGAAAAAGAATAAGACCCTATAATGGTAAATAATGTTTCAGTCTTTTTAACAGGTACATGTATACTCTGGTTGAAATAATTTCACATATTTTATCAATTTGATTTGACCATGACAGATTTTTATCAATATGGATTGCAAGAAGTTTTTCGACTTCAACATTATCTAAACATTGCTAAAGCGATATTATCTTGTGATAAAACACATAAACATTCATTGCAGCTTTCCAGTTTTCTGTCTGGTCCAACAAGCATAAATTTTGATTTCTTGTTATTTATCATCATATCATTTTCTGTACACCATTTAATAACATTTTCTAAGTCTGAATCTTTATTCAAACATATATTTAAATTTACCGGTACAATAGATTTAGATGACAATGCAAATTGTATCATCAGCATATAGATCAGATTCTGTATATTCTAAAGTTAATGGTAAGTCATTGATATAAACAAGGAACAATAAAGGTCTAAGTATAGAACCTTGAGGAACTCCAAAAGTTACAGTTTTATATTCCAATGCAGTGGTTCCTAACTTAACTTTTTGCATTCTATGAGAGAGGTACAAAATGTATGATGAATACCATTTTACAGACTGGTCCTCACATTTCTATAATTTTAGTTTTGGCAAAAGGATATTGTGATTTACAACTTATCAAATGCCTTCTTAAAATCTAAAAAAAGAGTAGCAGTAAAATTTCCATTGTCCAATTCTTCTAACCATTTATCAATTATTTTAATGAGTGCTGTATGACAAAAATGTTCTTCTCTAAATCCAGACTGCTGTTGATAATTTGTGTGTGGTTAAAAATAAATATAGTTGTTTAAAACCTCATCATTTTAGATCTTGTAAAACCTCATCATTTGTGACAGTATATAATGAAAATTTAACATCATATATTTTTGATTTGACATAGTTATTTTTTTTTATCAGATTCAAAACATGTGTGAGGATTTGGTATAAGCTTCTCACTTACTGTGCTAAAAAGAATATTTAAGCAGTTATCAATATCATTTTTGTTTAAAAGGACTTTTCCTTCGTGTGTTTAAAAATTGCAAATTTCCGGTTCTGTTATGATGGTCATATGCGCATTGCTCATATATATTTCTTCAAATTCATTCTTGAAATGACAAATTTATATAACATTGTATAAAGAAGATATGATTTTCCTTCAATTTGCATTTGTAAGATTTATTTTTCTTTAAACATCAGTTTTTGAGGTGTCATTCAGCGGTACCACGATTGCCCGAGGATTGCAAGAACAAATGAATATCCCAACGACAAACTGATTTGTCCCGAAAACATGATTTTACATGGTGTTATACTACTTTAAACAATATTAAAGAATGTAATTTTAAGATATTATTCGTTTTTACTCAATAAAAGTGCAATTTCACTTCAAGAAATCGATTAGTAGGTCTTGTATGCAAATTCCTTGTTGAAAACAATATAGCGGACATAATTATTCAAAAGGTAGACAACTTAAAAAAAATAAAAGTATTAAAAGTAGTGAAAGAATAGATTCTTTAAAAAACCTGAAATGATGAAAAGTAAATACAGTTATCATAACTTCTTTCGGGTATTTAATATAAAAAAGAAGATGTGGTATGATTGCCAATGAGACAACTCTCCACAAGAGACCAAATGACACAGAAATTTGACACAGAAATTAACTATAAGCTTATCAAGTTACAGTACTTTGCTTTCAAGTCGAGTTATCTACCATATGAATAATTACGTCCGCCATATTATTTTCAACAAGGAATTTGCATACAAGAAATACAAAGCGATTTTCTGAAGATAACTTGTACTTTTATGGAGTATAAACGACTAAAACGTCTTAAACCTTATAATTGCATGCTGTTACACTAATTTAAGCAGTATAACACCATGTAAAATCATGTTTTCGGGACAAATCAATTTTCTATGTGAATATCTTAATTTTTAACTAATCCGTTAAGTGAACACAGCTAACTGTGTACTCCAACGTTGTATGGAATTACGTGAAGTAGAACTAAAAGGACAAAATTATTCGGATCGTCCCTACATATAATTTCAATAACAGCTTCGTGGAGATAAAAGATCAACAGAAAAGATTTATCAACCTGTCTTTGTGCTCCTCCCAAACAACTTTTCTATTCTGGGCCGACAAAGACATATTTTGGGTGCATTTTCTTGGGGTTTTATCACAAATTCTTCATGTTGTTTACACCTGTTGATTAGTTGCAAACCGGATATTAAAACTGATTCCCGTCCCATACGATATCAGTTGATATTTAGAGGTAAAGTGTAGATTTTAAATCACTGCTACAACTTTTCGTTATACCTTTAGTCATTTGTTGTAATTGTTGCTTACTGTATCTAAAAAATACCCACGAGTGACACATTTAAACTCGATTAAATACTTCTCATGTTTCTTATGTTTCTTTTGGTGGAGAGGGACGTTTTTTCACATGGAAATATGCCAAAATTCAGTACTGTAGTATAGGTTTTTTTTTCAGGGGGAGGGGCCGCGGTATACATGTATATAAGAGAGGGTCTGAATTTGATTAAGTATGATATGAAAAGACTGTACATGGAAATATTCTGTCATCTAGAATAGCAAATGACTCCAACTGATTGATCCAGGCTCTTTCATAGAGAACTTTCCTTACAAATGCAGAAAATGTTATATTGATAAAAAAAAAAATAAGAAAAAAAATGTTATCTCAGATGAAATAGCTGACAGAGTGAGATAATGTAGTTGCATACAAAGGATATATATATTTATTGTAAATTTATATTTTAGAAGCCCAAAAAAAATGAATATGGTAACCTTTTCCTTTTTTGTTTCTTGGCTCACTTGGTCTAAAAGGCTATGTTATTTAAGCTAGTGCCATCATTTAGCGTTCGTCGTCGTCGTTAACTTAAAGAAAAATTTCTTGTTTGACTACTTTTCAAATGTTACCAACTTAACCTGAATGTTCCTTAGGCAATCTGGTTTTAAGTGTATCCAGGGCTTTGATCCATCAATAAACATGGCCACTGTAGGTATAATAAAACATAGGAGTAAATGCAGTATTTCGGCTTATATTTAAAAACTAAAGCAGTAAGAGTAAAACTGAGTGGATTAAAATTATCAAGAAGTCAAGGTCTTTCTACTATCTAATTTTCAGAAAAACCGCACAACCAATTTTGTAGTTTTTGCCCCTTAAATGCCAATAATTAGCAAATTTCGCAGTTTTTGGCTAGTATCTTAATATTCTAAGCAACAAAAATAAACTTATATGGATAAAAATGATGAGCAGATCAAGGTCTATCTCTCACGGAATTTTCAGAAAAAAATAAATACTCATTTTGGAGTTATTGCACCTGAAATGATAATTTTAAGCAAATTTCACAATTTTTTTATTGTCTATTACTAAAACTATTATTGCTAGAGAGAAACTTTAAATATTAAGAATGACATGAACAAAAAGATCTACAATTAAGTAATCATGGCCGGCGAAATTGACCCCTTATAGGAGTTATATTGCCTTTGAATGATGATTTTTACCCTTTTTTCATTTGTTTGCGGAAACTACAGTAGATAAACAGAATATTCAAATGTAGAAATGCTGCATAGCAAAACAAGATCCACAGATAAGTCAACATGGCCGAATTTGTTAATTGACCCTTAAAGGAGTTATTGCCCTGAAAAGGGCTTCTTACCTTTCTTGCAGAAACTTTAATATGAGAGAAATTGTAAATTCTGAATTTGCAGAAAAAATAAGCCAAAATGACTGAAATTGTCAATCGACTCTTTATAGGAGTTATTGCCCTTGAAAGACACTTTTTACCAATTTCATGCATGTTTGAAGAAAATATAATACAATAGAGAAATCGTAAATAGTGTAGTTGTATAGCAAATAAAGATATACAAATAAGTTAAACATGGCCAAAACTGTCAAGTGACCCCTTATAAGAGTTAAATTCCATTTGCCTGTTATCTCATCTCGAAAACTATAGTAGACAGTTAGAAACTGTGAACATCAAACATAATCGTCAATATAAGATCTACAGAAATACAAAAATGGAGGAAATAGAGGTAATCGTTTTATTTTTTACTTATTTCCAGTTTTTGCCGATTATCTCGAAAAATTAATAGATAGGTAGAAACTATAAACAACAACATTTTGACAGGTGAGCGATTCAGGCTCTTAGAGGCCTTTTGTTTTTTTCATTTTTTCTGAAAGCATTTCATATAAAAGCTATCTTTTAAAAAAATCCTTTTTGTTCTCTTTATACTTAAATAAAAATGCTTTTAAACATTGTGAGATGCCATTTCAATTCTACGGTAGCCGGACGCAGTAGTTGGAAATAACGTTATATAATCACAGAGGACTTTTCCAGCCTTATTCAAATGTTTCATTTTGATTTTGCCATTTGATAAAGGACTTTACGTTTTGGAAATCCTTGGAGTTCGGTATTTTGTTATTTTACTTTTTTTTGAAACATTTACGAGAAGTGTATCATAATTGATGTAACAGTACCGAGTTGTTACCATCATTTTTTAATTTGACGGTGGCTACTCTTCAAAGTGTGGTACTGTCATTCCTTAATTTGACTTACAAATATAGCATACAGATTTATTGTGCAATATAAATAAACTAGAGACGTCCATTTTGGCTGAACTAGTATACATTATCGTTTAGAGACCAGCTGAAGCACGCCTCCGGGTGCGGTGTTTTCTAGCTGTGTTGGAGACCCATTGGTGGCCTTGGGCTGTTTTCTGCTCTTTAGTCGGGTTGTTGTCTCTTTGACACATTCCCCGTTTCCTTTCTCAATTCTATTGAAATTACTGGAGATCAATTCAGAATTTATGCAGAAACCAAAAAGTCCTAGGACAAGCATATGTAAAACAATTCAAAAGAGAAAAATCATGGCCTGATTTAATTAAGCTTACAGCATTAAACGAAAAACAATTATGACAAACAGCAACCAACGGCAACTATGCAGTGGACTACAAGCTTCTGCCTTGGACAGGCACACCAATAATGTGTAGGTGGTGAGCACGAGACGGTTACTAACAAAATCACAAATGAAACTAAGTTTCGATGGTAATTCTCACCTTCGGACTGTGACTTCTACTTTGATATATCAAAGAAAAAGGTCGACGCCATTCAAAAAATTCTCTGGTGACATTTCTTTGTGGTTTCATCGTGTTCACACTGTTATAGTTCATTCAATCAAGGATAAATAATGTTTTCATTTAATTACTTTCAAATATTTTAAAGCTAAAACTAAATAATATCAACAAAGTCAAAATAAAATAAAATAATATTAACAAAGTCAAAAGAGAAAATTGTCAAATTTATTAAACAAACAAATACGAACATCATCAAGATTTAACACAAAGTGAACATATTTAACAGTTTTTTTATATAGAATTTGCAAGTACAAACATATCAATGTATTTGAGTTAAGTATACAGTCAAGCAGTTCTTTTATTGCGCCGCTTCACTGAAATGTTCTTGTTACTAGCGTCTTGTTTTTTATTCGCAGATTTTTTCTTTTCATTCTGTCCGATAACAGACTGAGTTACAGGTCGCTTTTTTGCAGAATCACAAGCTAGCTCGACTGACTCGATCAGCCCATTATCATTAGCTTCCTGTACTTCTGAATTGTTGGTACAACTTCCCGTAATTGATTGATTGGTTGAACCATTTATATCATCAGATGGTGACGTAATAATTGAACCAGGTCGTTTCCTCTTGTTTCTATGGTTGTGTTTTAAGTGTTGTTGCAAGGAACTAGCTACAATAAACTCCTTTGGACAAAATTTACATCTGAACGGCATATCTCCCGTATGTATTCTCTTATGAACGCTTAGGTAGCCGTGATATTTGAATTCCTTCCCACACACGTCACATTTATATGGCGTATCACCAGTGTGTATGCGCTCATGTTGTATAACTGCTCTCTCCGCCGTGAAAGATTTCTCACAGATAGAACATTTATATGTCTTTCCAGAATGAGTTTCTAAATGATACCCCAGATGATGCTTACGTGAAAATGTTTTCTCACACATATCACATTTGTAGGGCTTCACACCTGAGTGAAGTCGTTCATGAGTACGCATATGTGTATTTTGAGTGAAAGTTTGTCCACATGTGCCACACGTGTACGGTCGCTCATGTGTATGAGAACGCAAATGTACCAATAAAGACTGTTTGTGTCTAAAAGGCTTAGAACAAAGTTCACAGACATATGGTCTATATTCAGAGTGAACTTTTTTATGGGTTGTAAGGTTACTAGACTGAGTAAACCGCTTATGACAGACGTCGCACTCGAATGGTTTGTCCAACGTATGCAGTCTCTCGTGCGCTGCCAGACTGGATGTACTGCATAGTGACTTATCACAATATCGACATTTATAAAACGTTTTCTCGTCAGTATGTATACGCATGTGTCGTTTTAAATAGCTTGGTAGTCCATACCGTTTGTTACATACACTGCAAGAATACTCTCCCTCGTGATTACACTTGTGTTTTCGCAGTGTGTAGGTATGTTTGAACCAGTTGCCACATACATCACACTGAAATTTCTTACTGCTATTTTTGCCATCCGTTGTAGTATGTTTACACTGAATACTTTTGTAACACATTGTACATTTGCTGTCGTTTACTGCCTGTCCAGTCATCTCCGTGTCATGTGCCGAAAGTTTTGTTATACCATTGGTCCTACTGTCTTTGGTTTCTTTATTAAGCGCTTGTGCATGAGACGTCATCTTTTTGTTTCCTAAAACCTGAGACTGTTTTACCAGATTACTGGAGGAAGGTTTTTGAACGTTTGGTTTTATGTCGCTTATATCATCTATCAAAGTAGCATTTTTGGCAGTATTGATGCAAGGTGAATAACAATTAAATTCCTTCGTTTCCATGGCAAAATTACTGTCCTTGTTCTTAATGTCTTCTTCCTCATTTGCAATGGATGGCAGATTTTCTTTTGTATCAGTAATACTATTTTCCCGTTCGTCTTCTGCGACGACATCTCCACCGATGTTAGATGACTCTCTTTGAAATTCTGGTACGTTTAACACAGAACCATTATGATTCCTTTCAACCTTAATAGAGACAAGGTCACGTTGTAAATCGTTTTGATCAAGTTCATCACAAACAATATTCGTTTCTGATTTGATCTCCATTTTGTTTTCTGGCATTATATGTTGTCAGATTAGACCATCCCTGAAAGTAAAAGAGAACGTGGTGTAATTAAATAACATAGATTATGTCCTTTAATCAAATCTAAGAAAATATCTTTTGCAATAGAATATTTATTTTATCTTACCTAAAGTAACGATTTTCTATGAACAAAAGAACAATATGACAATGCATAGTATAATTCTTACTTAATAATTCTAGACTGCTACTTATTGATTGGCGTTCAGACGTCTGTATTAAAATCACCACTTATCATAATGTGTGCTCATTAAGATCCCCGATGATTACCAATGGTGTATTAGATAACACAATTGATTCCTGGAGATGCTTGTAACAATGCTGCACACACTTCAATCAATATTGTTATGTGTGTAGAACTGCTAATCTGTAGAACATTGATCGTGTAAATATTCCTTATGAACGATACACATACAGTAGCAATATCGCAATTATATACGAATAACTACAACTGCACTAAAGCAAATAAAAATAAAACCCAGATCTAACCTTGAAAATGTTTCAGAATGGATAATAAATTATGTTCATTATAGGTTAAAATGTAATTGGAAATGAAAATCAAAAAAATGGAAAGCGAAGAGTATTACGTTTTACGTGCAACACATACGGTATGATAAACAATTCAAAATTCTACCTTCATGTACTGGTCAGAATTTTCCTCAACAGACACTGCAAATATCCCAGTGAACCACAACACCATTACGCTATGGAAACCATTTTTATTCTTACTGATAAATACTGAATATTGATTCCAGTATCTTCTCTCCAAGGTTTATACTATTATACGGCTGCTATTTATAGAAAAAAGCTTCTCTCACAGAACTGATGTATCAGACTGACAGAAGATTTCATGCAACTAAATTCATACTGAATACTATTTAGAGAAATGAATATCCAGATTGATATATGGATTGCTCTTAATAAATTTTACGGGTATTTATATTCAGGTCTCCGGTAACAATTCTAAAAAAAAAGATATTTAAGCAAATAATATTATTATAGTTAAAGATTCAGAAACGATGATATTCGGATAAAAATTGAACTCTTTAATGATATATTATTGGCCTGCGTCCCACAAAAAATCTTACGACTAAAATTGATTGTCATTGTACTAAAATGCTCAATACTTATACGATCAATTTTAGTCTCAACTTTTTATGTGAAAAACAGGCCTATAGTTTGTAATAATTTTTCTAACTATATAAATACAACATAACCAAAAAGACAGGAGTGGATTTTATTAGAAAGGGTGCGCGCCTCCCATAAAATAAGGGGAAAAAATATGATTGATATTTTACTAAAATCGTCAAAATATTCAGTCTTGCAACACCCGATGATAGTTTTAAATCAGTGAGCATCTTTCAGATCAGTTCCTTAAAAGCTTATTATACGCAAAAGATAAAAAAAACCAAATGATAAAGACAAGAAATTTTGTTTTCATATCAACATTATTATTATTACACAAAACTAAAAACTACTATTGTCTGCGTTTTTAAAGTTAAGAAAACTATACTATAACACTATTTACCATACACTGATTCAAAAGAAATCAGTGTAGAGGGTCACTCTCCCAAACATGATCATTTTGATTCAAATATTTTGCTTCGTAGGTTGAGATGTAGAATTGGATAATTAGATAAAGAATTGCCAGCAGTGACCATATTTTTTCATTCGATCAACACAAAATGGGGATTTTTACTTCTTTGTGGGGTACAGACTTCTACCATACTTAAATCATTCATGCCGAGTTCGATTTAATTTAGCCCAGTTGTCTCAGTGCAAAAAATGAAAATGTAAAAAATCAACGGGCGACTACAGACTTACTTTGGATGCCAAGTAATAACAACATCATAATGAAATTTCTATTCTGTTTCATGTTAAAAAAATAAATACACCAGATATAGACGGTTTTACTACGCCTTGTATGTCCCATTTTGTTTTGTAGCTGCCCTACGGACCACATGTTATTCAAAGTCCAATAGCAAATATGTCGTGTATATGAGAGATGATACTTTGATCTTCACTTGAATATTATATTTCAATTATTTGTAAAAGAAATCTTATTTTGTATGATAAACGCGACAATATCTTAATGTCTGCGAAGACTTCCATCATTTGTGTACGAAACTTTAAAAAAGTACATATTACCAAGAACCTCTTGATGAATGGTTGTCAAGTGTCATATCTTTATTTTTATTCATATTTCGTTAAATGGCAGATCTATGGTACATTTTTTTTATTAACGAATTCTTTAGTCTCTTGCCACTTTTTAGAACTTGATATTTTATATATAGACAACTGTGTATTTTTAACGACCGCACCTACACGAAAACTGCATGTATGTTCATCTCAAGGCGTGTTTTGTCCCAAGTCAGGAACCTCGCCACTGGTTGTCGTCTGCTACAGCTTCTTGTTTTTTTGTCATTTGGTGAATCTTTTGTTGATTCCAAGTCAGTTATAGTCTATGTTAACTTTATTTGGGACTTTGTTTTAGACTATTAGGGATTCAAAGCTTGATATGTTGTAATGATACCTTTTCAAGACCGTATCTTGACCTCTACATGTTATTTGTTTTTTTTTTTTGTGTCGTTGGATTGCTGTCTTATGGCGTTTATCTCCACATCTGCTGTTATTCATACTAACAGAGAAATACATGCAAACAATATGTAGTCATTCGATTTTCAATTGCAGTGCAGATAGGCGTTCAAGCTTGAGCAAAAGACATTTTAAAGATTTGATTTGTCGCACATTAATCGGTAGATATGACAAAATGTATACATTTGGGAAACAAATTATCTCAAATATATCAAAAATGTTTAAGTGTTTGACATTGTTGAGAAAATGGTTAGGATGATTGTAATTATTTTTTAATGACTTCATAACCAGGTGTTAACTGAAACGGTAACTTGTTAAATCTTTCAATACGTGCTCGCAAATTGACTTCTAAAGAAGATGCATTCTTCATTATATATACAAAGGAGCGCGAGTTGCTGTTCTTATTACATTAATTTCATCTATATTTTTATATTATACTGACATGTATTTTTTGGCTCCGTGTTGAAAGCCTCACTGTACGTACGTGACTTTGAGATGAAGAACATCGATACAAGCGCTGTTCCTTTGCTTTTTGTGTGTTTTTGCTGCGCATGTACTGATTTTGTGTCATGGATGGATATTCCATATCCTTTGTTTTTCTATTATGTATGCATATTCTCAGTTTTGTTCAACTTTTAATTTAATACAGGTGTATTATTGTCTGAATTTTGTTCCCAATGTTTTTTCTAGCGTAATGTTAATTAATAATGCGTTCAAGTGTACTTTCGGTATATTCGGTACATTCTAAAATTGTCGCTAAACAAACCAGCCTGCTTACTAAGAAATAATTTTTGAAAGTTGAAATAACAAGGTTTATTTCAAATAAGTAATGAAAATTTAATATAGTTTCTATGTATTACCATTGTGTTAAACATGTAAGTTGTAAAAAAAATCTTTGTTAATTGTGAATCTGTATATATGTATGTTGAGGAGACCGACACGTAGCCTCTGGCTGTTGGCAAACCTCTTTAAATAAATAAAGAATTAAACCAAAAATTAAATCATATATTATCAGTTTACTGCTGATTTCGATCATCCTCTGTACTAGTCTTTCTTTGGCAAAATTACCGTGAGTATCAAATTTAAGCAACTATCGATCTTCGCACTAGGGTTTATATTTGTGCTATTGAAAAAAGGTTTTCTAAATTACAATGGCACGCAATGCCATATTTGCTAGTTTGTTTTTTGTTTATTGTATTGTTGTAATGTACATCATGTTGTGGATTTTCTCTTTTGAATTGTTTCACATTTTGTCTTTCCTTGGCTTTTAACAGATTACTATATCGCTTGGTTTTTTGTTCGCTGTTGAAGGACACGCGGTTATATTTATTTTTTTAAATCTTTCCTTATATGTGTATATACGGTCAACAGTTCTAACGGCAGAATAAAATGTCATACTAATACCGTTCTTACGTATCATACGTAATAACAGTACGACACTATCATACCTATCCCATGTTTGTAAAAAAAGATGCGGAAGACAAACAAGCCCACAATACACTACGCCATTGCAAAACAAAAAAAGCGAAAAAAAAAGACGATAAGACAAACAAGCCCACAATACACTACACCATTGCAAAACAAAAAAAGCGAAAAAGAAAGACGATAAGACAAACAAGCCCACAATACACTACGCCATTGCAAAACAAAAAAAGCAAAAAAAAAGACGATAAGACAAACAAGCCCACAATACACTACACCATTGCAAAACAAAAAAAAGCAAAAAAAAAGACGATAAGACAAACAAGCCCACAATACACTACACCATTGCAAAAAAAAAAAAAAAAAAAAAAACGAAAAAAAAAGACGATAAGAAAAAACAAGCCCACAATACACTACGCCATTGCAAAACAAAAAAAGCAAAAACAAGACGATAAGACAAACAAGCCCACAATACACTACACCATTGCAAAACAAAAAAAGCAAAAAAAAAGACGATAAGACAAACAAGCCCACAATACACTACACCATTGCAAAAAAAAAAAAAAACAAAACGAAAAAAAAAGACGATAAGACAAACAAGCCCACAATACACTACGCCATTGCAAAACAAAAAAAGCAAAAAAAAAAGACGATAAGACAAACAAGCCCACAATACACTACACCATTGCAAAAAAAAAAAAAAAAAACGAAAAAAAAGACGATAAGACAAACAAGCCCACAAAACACTACGCCATTGCAAAAAAAAAACCGAAAAAAAGACAAGACAAACAAACCTACAAAACACTACGCCATTGCAAAAAAAAAGGAAAAAAAAGAAAAAGACTATAAGGCATAGAAGCCCCCATATCACTACGCCAAAGCCCATTGCAAACAAAAAAAAAACGAAAAAAGACAAAACAAACAAGCCAACCAAACACTTCGCCATTGCAAAAAAAAAAAGAAAAACACGATAAGACAAACAA